TACCATGCGGCAGTTGACGGTGGTGGCTTACCTACGCTTACCGATAGTGCTTGACACCTTTTCTAGGTACTGGCAGTTACCACTTGTTAATAAGTGTCTACTTACCAACGGTGTCTTTAATTGGCATTTATCCTCCAATATTCTTCAATTTTATTTGCATGAATTTTGACAGAGTTATTTACAGACACAGGAATGAGTATGATGTTCAGTATAGAGAACTATGTTTATCTACGGTTGCGATAGTACCGACAGTAACTTCTTAGCTACCACAAGATGGCAGTTCTCAGAAATTTCTATTAGTTAACGTTTCAACGTCGCGAGGGCATCACGATTGTTTCTTTCGTAGCCATTACGTATGTACGCATCGAGGTTATTTCAAAATTGATTTCACGGTAAAATTATAAGTTATGGCTTTCGTCAGAAGGTACTACAATGTTTATGTGAAAAGTGTTTGCACGTGATCAATGAAAATTAGGTATTGCATTGGCCAGTAGCAAAACAAACGACGAGTGACTTTTATATCTTGTAAACGATTTTATTTTGGGCTGATAGTTCGCAATATATATATAAAACTACATCGTAACTATACTCGCGCGAACAGCCTTTCAATTATGTTCAGTGATGGAACGATCCGAGGCCTACTTGTGGACGACTCGTTACTATATTTTTTTTTATTGTTGTGATCGTTAGTGGTACAGAAGCGTTGCTATTTTTTTTCTACAAAATTTCATGATGCCTTCCGTAATATCGATAAGAAATACTATACGTGAGTATCTGTAATATTACACTAGTATATCATCTGTTTAATATGACATTATTTTCTCTTACTCTTACACTGCTTAATCGTACGTAGTATTTATATTTTTGTGTTATATGTATGCGTGTGGTCTCGGTATGTCAGTACGCCTATATATTTGTCATTACGCAGTCTGTCATATTTAAGCTCTTTTATTATCGAGAAAATCTTAATTTGCGATGTCGTCGAAGATATTGTCGCGGATTGGCAAACATTTGTCGAAAAACTTAACCGTGCTGCTATCGAGTGAAGAATGTGCAGTTATTAAGGTCCACAATTTAAGAATCCCCCAAAGTGCCACATTGCACTTTACACAATCGGCGAATACCACATCTTTGAAACGAGATTGATATATTAGACGTCCTCTTATTGCCACCTTTGTCATTAAAAAAAAAAGAATGATAAATAATCTTATTAATATTAATTTGCAGCATATATATAAAACAATCTGTTTGCGTCCCAATAGAGGCATTATATTTAAAGATCTAGAAATAACTACTATCAAATATAAACATAGAATAGTCACTTTTCAACAGGCAAATATCTATTTTATACTTTATGCACATATTCTCGCTTCTCATCTGCAATGATAGCGGACACACTCATCACACAGCACACACACTTTTGCGCTCACACACAAATGCATACAGGGGCACTTTTTCCTCGCCACAAACTTTCATTTATATACATCATCACTTTCGTCACGTTGTTCTATGTAATTAATAATTAAATCGTCGCTTTAACGTCTTCAATGTGAATTTAATGTGAGCGGTAGGAAATACTGGATAGCCTTTCTGTCATTGTTACCATTAAGTATTATCATTAAGATGTTTGCTAGCGACTTATGCTGCAGAAATTGTTAAAAAATGTATATCAATACCATGATCGCACTAGGGATTCACTCGTGTGCATGCATACATCTGTGCTTACTATCGTACATAATAAAATCGTACCGATCCACTGTAAGAAAGCATAGTTACCTCTTACTTTACTGACGAATTAAAATTTCTTTTTTTTTTTTAATACATGCCTACATGTATAATTTCTTACTGTATTAACCCTTTTGCACTGAAGAGTAGCTTCAAACTTAAACAAATTACATAGATCCTTAACAATAAGTACATGAATGCTTGTCCATTTGTTCAAAACCGTAAGCACATTTGCACACATGTACTCGACCTGTTAACCTCAAAGTAAAACCTATTTCTATGTATGTACACAATGTAGGTTTTAAAATGTACCATATCATTGATGTCTAATGAGAGGACGCAACGAAGCAAAATCGAATGTATTCTAGGCATTGAATCTTCGCAGTGTCTCCTCGTGGATGTATATAGTGCACGTAAAGATGTATAAAAGAAAAAATATAACAAACGGTGCCTCGAAACAGGCACACCTATACACAAGGGCGATTTGTTGGGCGTAAAAGGACTCAGGCGTCCAGTCTTCCATCGAGATAGTTACTAGTCACTTATACAGCTTGAAACATCGCTGTCAACCCTCCTCAATGCCATTTAAACCAGTAAGAAAATTAATTGACAAATGTCGCATAGCTAAGCGTAACACCATGTCTCCACGATGACGCTTGGACGTTACATATGCACTGCAGCAATGCATAGCATAATAATAATATTGCTACCCTGGATTACAACTTCGCAGAGATCTCAAAACACCTTCCCAGAGTACATACGAGCTTCGATTCGCCCCTGTTCGCGTACGCACTAAAAATGAGGCGTCTTAGAAACGAAAGACCTTCCGTCGAGTAGGTTTAAGTACATCTTTTAACCGGGTCACAGAGCATTATGCTGTGTCATTAAGTAATCGCAAGAAACATTCGGGAATACTGGTATTGTTTATCGTGACCGGTGCCAGCACTTCATATCAGCCGTTACGTTAAAGGACCGCACTGAAGGAAGCGTTCTTTAACAGGACCGACTTTAGCGCCATCTTGCCTCGAACCACTCTTTCTCTCTCTCTCTCTCTCTCTTTCTCTCACTCGCGCGTATGACCACTCTCACCTAAAATTACGCAAACGTACGAGTACTCCCATCTTTTTTAGATTTCCGTAAACGTTAAGTGCTATCGCACGGCTTTAGCCGCAATTTCAGTCTCATTTGCACCTGGACACACGTTGGACGTTACGAGCATACAGTAGGCCGCTTCGAAACTCCTGTATTTCAAGGCAGGAATGCAAGAGCGCAGGCCCTGTATGGAAGCATTTCAGTAAAAAAAATATATCTTCATATATATATGTGTATATATATAATATGTATATACTATGTATAAATGTATGTACGCCGTGCGACTCTGTAGCAAGTACGTATACATACGTAGGCACTAATTTAATGTCGAGCGGCGTTACCACCCTCGACGGGACCTCGTTATGACGTACTTTTCTTTTTTTCCCTTCCTTTCCCTCCTTAATTCTTTTCCCTCTTGGAGTGCGCTAAACGGGAAGACCTTATTTCATCAGCTCGTTTCGAAACGCGGGCTGCGGGCAGAGCTTTTGGTCAGAATTGCAGACGCGCTATGTGTTAACTTATGTACACGCGCGGGCTTACCGAAGAAAAGAGATCAAAGCTATTGAGCAAGCCCTGCTACGTAGCCCGAAGAACGGTATACATATATTATATATAAATGTATGCGTATATGGAATATAATTGCGGCTTTTTGCAGGCTCGATTCCGCGCCCTGATCGATTGACACTCGGCTTCGGCGTCTGTTGACTTTTCGTGTAAAAAAGGGGCAAAGACCGAGGCTCGATTCGGCGGCGCAACTTTTACTCCGGCAGCCATTGCGCCTTGCACGCCGGCTTATCGTTTAAAAGCGTGAACAGAAACCTAGTTACGAGCAGGTAAAAAGAAATGCAATGACTTTCCCTCGTTAGTTTTAAGTTATGCATAACAAAGACCGAGAGAAAAAAAAACTGATTGCTAGTGGGTATTCCTACCGAGTACGTATGCACGTACGTATGTATATGTACGCGTACGCTTTGTTACACACGTATCGACGCGCGTGCTCTGCTATTGCGGCGTAGGAATTACAGTACCTGTACCGTACCAAACCATTATTAATGTCTCGTTATACTTATCGAAGATTACGCCTGATTTTTTTTTAAACCTTCATTGACGTTCATTTTTGCCAACCCTCGAAGATTTGCGTATGGGAACATGCGATCGCTAGGTCGTCGGCTATGCATTCGAGGCTCACCTACTGGTCCGAGCAACACATTTTCCGACATGTTTGTTACATGGAGGAAGGTCACCGATCAAAGCGTGAGTGTTGCAATTTCTCCTTGTAATTCCCACGGCACTCAGCAGTGACGTTACCGCTGGATGTGCGCATATGCACAACAGAGACATGTGTATAACGCGTGTGTAAATATGCACGAAGTGTATCATCGCGCAACTCTTTCGCCGGCCTATCAGAAATATTTCTAGAGATATAGTCCCCTCACCATGACCTAACACTATTACGGGCTACGCGCATTACAGTCGTTCCTCTTCGGGTCTATCCGTGCGATCGCTCTTACCTAATACAACCTGATTCCCGGAGCTTACGTGGACCCATTAGTCGTGGAATCTGCGAAAGAAATACATATCATCAATCCACCGTCCTTGTACAAAGTTCTCATATTCATAAGTCAAGCTCTTTTTCCATCTATAACTTGAATCGTTCCATGTGATACGTTACTATGGAAACGCGTAGCGAGAGATCATTACCTGCGGAAGTTGTCCGGATGTTCTGGACTCAATGATCACCTCGAAGAAGCTCCATTAGAAGGTTGAAGGAGCTGCCCTCTCCTTCGGCACGTTTCGCGGTAAGAAGCTCCTTCCCGGCTTGGCAAGTTCTCTGAAGATCGGGGATCCTTAAAAGAAGTTCGCCAAACTTGGCCGGCATCTCAGGATACCTGGCTATGGTGTACTGTTGGAGTGCCTGGAGCGCTTTCTCTTGAGAAGCCCTTACCTTTTCGGGTTCCTTTAGCTCACTCGTGTCCGAGGTGAGTAGTACGATTACCTAGAAGAAGAATGCCGATTTTATTAAACCCGTATCTAACAATATCCCGGACTACTTCGCCTTTTGTATTCCAACGGTCCACGGTCGACCCGCAAAATAAATAATCACCTTCATCGCCACGTATTCGTACTGGTCGACGCGAAGTCTCCTGAGGTTGTTGGTGAAGGCGAGCATCCTTTCGATGCAGGTTGCCAGCCCGAGCTGCCTGGCCTGCTCCAGGGTGATGGACTTCCCAAGGGAAACCCTGATTTCTCCTGGGGTGCTCATGCTGCGAAAGCAGCAGGAAAAGAGCAGGAGCTCGCACCAGGAGTTGATGAGCAGGCAGATCTGGTCGTCTATAGAGATATTCTTGAAGAGGGGCAAGCTCTTGCACCACTTGACGATCTTGTACAGCCGATGGTCGGCGATGTTGCACAGGTTGGAAAGAAAATCGGGATGCTGAGTGGAGTTGCCGTTGGCGGCGGGATTAGGAATGGGCCCCGACTTAGAAGTTGGAGAACGTTGCTCGTGCTCTGCCGAAGGGGTCGTCCCCGTGGCGGGGTTCGACCTGGTGCTTGAGGATTCCCCTCTACCAACCAGGTTCCCACTGTTGCTGCCACTGTCGGAACTGCCCCCGTCTCCGCCCGAGTCGTCGCCACCACCTCCGCTGCCAGCACTCTCTCCATAATTGTTGTTCCCGCAGATCCCGGTAGTACTGTTGGTACCACCGATACTACCCCCGCTGGAGCAGGAATTACCACCCCCGGTAGCGTTACACGTACCTGCACCACTAGCACTACCACTGCCCTCCACTCCGGCCAGTCCGGAATCCCTACAGTCTGCGATCCCACCCATGGCGCCACCTTGACCACTGGCCAGGCGATCATTGTCGTTGTAATGCCAAAGATGCTCCACGTCCATTATATCCTGCAGAAGCTGCGGTACCACTTGCAGTTTGTGCGAGTGGTTCGAGTGATGCCTAACAGAGTGGTGGTGCTCGCTCCCAGGTGGAGCAGGACTGCAGGTTCCCCCAGTGATCTTGTCCCCGGACATGGCGCCGCCATTACCGGCCGACCCACCTGTGAGTAACATTGTGGATTAATCATTGATAGCAAGTGTAACGCCTAGAACTTCGCGATCCTAAATCAGATGTAGGTTCCAACCAAAGTCTGTCATCTGGAATCGGTACCTATGAGATTCGCAGGAAGGGTGTAGGTGCACTGATACGTGCTCCTGCCACCCCTGGTGCGGTCCTCCCTGATAGCTTCCAGCTTCATTCCCATGTTGAGGCACTTGTCGAACCGGCAGGCTGGGCACTTCTTGCGGGTGGCCACAGTGACTGGACACCCTGCACCCCTGAGGCACACGTAGTTTTTCCTGTTCTGCACGGTCCTCTTGAAGAACCCCTTGCAAGATTCGCAGGAAAAGATGCCGTAGTGGAAGCCGCTAATCTTATCGCCGCAGATAGGACAGGGACTGTTGATGAGCTGCTGTCTGGTGGAGATGCCCGAAGGGGCCGACGGAATCCTGCAGTCGTCTTGCTCGTCCGCGTGGCCCTCGGAGAGCTCACAGCCAGGCGTTGGATAATGATGGGAACCCGCTGGAAGGTGCAGGGGACTGCCCTGGGTGACCTGGTGGTGATGGTGGTGCTGTTGCTGGTGCTGCTGGGGATGCGAGTGCCGCGGCTGCTGCACCGGCGAGTGCGTAGGTGGGCTCAAGGATCCGTAGCTGTAGCAGCTGCTCGAGGCGTCCGAGTTGTTGCGCGACAGGGAATGAGAGAGCGACAGAGACAGGGACGACGTGGAATTGTTGAAGCTGTGACGTGAGAGCGAGAGCGACGACGAGGGTACCGGACTTCCGGACCCCAGGGCCGAGTGCCTGGCCGCGTGAGGACTCTGCGTGGGCGAACTGAAGACGCTGTAAGCAGAGTGGATCGCCGAATCCGGAGACGGGACCTGTGGTACAAGGTGCAATTAGCGTTTCAAGGGAACCCAAGGTAACTACAAGAGCGGAATCAGACAAGATAGCGATTGAAACGCCAGCCTTGCCTGGGATCTCGCGTGACCGTGCTTGGTCAAGTGATGGCGAGGGTTAAGAACCGGACTATGATTCGGCGTGGAGCTGTTGTAGCCCCCGAGGAGCTTCCCCACCAACAGCGGCAGGTCGCTCTGCTGGGTCTGCTCGTGGCCCTCCAGCCCCCTGGATTGCTGGTGTTGGTGTTGGTGTTGTTGCTGCTGCTGCTGCTGCTGTTGCTGCTGCTGGAGCTGCTGGGCATGGCTCAGAGGCAGCACCGTGTCGTTCATGGAACCGAGCGCGAGTCCGGGGCTCGACCTGAAGTCCGGCTCCGGCTTGATCGGGAACTTCTGTTCCTGGGGCCCGGGACTCGCGCCGCACACCTGAACGCCTTCCATCGACGTTTCCTCGTGATCCTGAAATAATTGCGGTGTTACAAGATGGAACGAGGAATACCTGGACATGGTTAACTGCGGAATTGAAATTCCTTTCGCAACGATTACAGGGGAGTGCAATCGAGGCCGACGCTCATTGACGTCGACAGGCATCGGGGGACGCACCTGATTGGTAATGGTGTTGGAAGACATTTCCTGATCCGAGAGCTCGCCTTCCCAGGACATGGGCCGCTCCGGTTGCTGATGCACGTGCTGCTGCAGGCTGTCTCCCCCGACGGCTCCGCCGTCGCTGTCAGGGCCCCCGGAGGCATCGCGCTTCTTCTTCGTGCGCAGGTTGACGCCCCTGAAGTCGATTTTGCTCACCTCGCCGTCGCTGTCCTCGACGTCGTCGAGGGCGCCGACCTCCCCGAGCCCGACGCCGGGGCAACCCGCACCGCTCGGTATGGAGCCGCAATTCGACACCACCGAGACCGTCACACCGTTCTGCCCTCCCAGATACTTGCAGATGCTCTTGCCTGAAAATATCATTCGTTAATAATGTTACCTCTTAGAAATCACATTTAATTTAAAGAATATTAATTAAACAAAGCCGATATACAGAATACGTTCTCAGCCATTGCGAATTCCCTCAATGTGCAGATCACGTGTTAAGGTCGATTTATCCTATCCGACACGTGCCAGTACCGATCTAACAAAAGTTTATAACGCGATTCAATAGCGTTCATGCTGGTTCGTATGTAGTATCGTCGATAGGATAAGTTGACCTTTATTCATCCCTCCTTACCTTTCTTCAACTCGTCCTACCTTACTACCTGTAATAAATCTCTTTCTGGCCTAGCGTTTTGGAATGTATAACGTTAACATCGGTCACATGTCGTGAATGGAGTAGCGGGCATGTATATAAAAACTATGGCGGCAAATACGAAGTAAGTTTAACCTCCCCATACTCGTGCATTGGTCTCTCAGACTTTTCGAACTATAGAGAACACCGGTTGTCTTCTACGCATCATGGGTCAAAGGTGCCGAAACAAGGGAGCCTCGCAGGGGCGCGGACGAGGCGACATCTGGACGGGCCACGCGCGATACTTCCGCGGTGTGCCGCCGGTAACTCTCTCTCGCTCCGCGCGGGGGCACGCGCGGCGGCAAAAGGCAGTCACAGCGACAGCAGGTACGACACGTCCACGTCCTCTCTCTTCCGCGTGAACGTTCCCTCCCTCTCCCTTTGCCGCTCCTATTCCTTCCTATCCCTCCCCCTTTCTTTCTCTCTGCTTCGACGAGCCCGGCGAAGGCGAGGTTTCACGCCGGAGAGAACTCCCGGCGCTGCTAATCCAAGGGCTGGAGCGACGCGCCGAGAGGACTGCGGAAGACTGCGGAAATTGCTACCCGTTTCTCCACAGACCCGTTAGAACACGAAATCATCGCATCAGCGTTAGCGTTCCTTCGCGTTGGACACCCGCTTCATGGCAGGTTCCGTCTTTGATACCCTAAGGATGTACACGTTGACGCGACACGTTCAGGGAGATCGCCTTAGGCCTGGTTCCACAGCTCGAGCTAATCGGAGTTTAACTGGTTTACGGCATGTTTGAACCTGCTGTAAACCAATTAAGCACAAGTTAACCAGGGTTTAAGTGGTTTACAGCAAGTTTAAATCATGTCTAAGCCAGTTAAAGGTCGGTTAACTCAAATTGTGGAACCGGGCATAAGTAACATTCGGTTTTGCCGTCAAGTTGTCGCTAATGAAAAGGTACCTTTGTTTGATCGTTAATAACCGTCGTGGGAGCACATATGTCGTTAGGGTCCCACAAGAAATCTGCCACAAACTATGTGTACGATAGGAAGAGATGCCGGAGCTGATGGGTCCAATAATTTTGTCAAATACTTGTTGTCCAAACGGTCTGTGGCGAAGTGGATCCCTATCAACTTTGTGAGACGTGAACCTCGAGTGACGACTCTTCCGGGATTTACACGGGGGAGATAATTCTATAGCGAGTCGTCGAGATGGCGGTATCGTGCCGCACAAGCAACCCCTAGCGTTTCCACGACCTTCCGCGGATCGGCAAGCTGACCGGCGAATGTAACGGAACCGTGCACGCCTTGCGCATGCGCGGGTCAAAGCAGCGCCATTCTCCATTCGCGTTTTCCTAGGTCGAGACGATATAAAGGCCGATCCAGACATATCCGTACCGTGTCCGTGCCGTATCCGTGCCCGCCCGTATAGAGTATACACTGTCGTGATAACCTCCAAACATCGAGGAGAATGAATTTTTCAGTCGAGAACCTCGCAGCGATTGCCCTGATTTTGGACGAAGAGAAAAGTACTGCATGCAAATGAGACAGTACAAGCAGATCCATGAAATGTGTTAACAGAGCAAAAATTGAGGGCGAATTCATAAAGTAATGCAAAGAGCTAAGAGGTGTTGAAACTAAGATGCAAAGATAACAGTACCATCGCGAAATTTGTTAATATTATTAATATTTAGGTAATTCAAAGCACAACAGAGAAGTGTAAAAAAAAGAAGACAATCAGAGCCGAAGAAGATATGAAAGTTAAGACGATATGAAAGTGGCTCCTAAAAAGTCAAATGTTCGTAAAAGATTTGTCCGAACTGGGTGTACCGAATCATTTGAAACTTTACAACGTGAATATGAAGATTATAAGGAAGATTCCGACACCCATGAAATTTTAATAAAAAACATTTGTTTACAGATATTTTCAAAATTTGTTATAAAAAAGGGTAATTTCTAATTATCAGGACCTTTCTTATAGCCTTCATATTCACATTGAAGTCTGAAACGATTCGGTATACCGAAATCGGAGAAAAGTTTCACAAATGACTGACCTCTAGGAAACCACTTTCATATTACGTTAAGGTGCCATGAAAGTGTCATATATATCAAAAAGTCAAATTATCTATAACACATTTCTCCCAAATGGACGCACCGAATGATTTGAAACTTTAGCACGTGTTTACGGAGGTTCTAAAAAATGTCTTTTCGAAACATGAAATTTTGCGAGTTTCAAGACCTTCGTGGCTGTGTGAACCTGGAATCCAGTTTAAGGTACAAACACAATTAACAGGATAATTGGAATATCTCTGTGATGTAGACGTTTGTGCTATATTGAGTTTTGTCTGTGCGACTTTTTTTTACAAAACCCAAAGCGATTAAAAAAAATAAACAAATTCCGAAAATAACCATTTTAACATTTCTGAGATCCTGGGAGGCTCTGAATTTTCCTAACATCCGAGAGCCCATTAGAATAGCAAAATCCAATTTTCCAGAATTTCGGAAATTGTTTATCTTTTTGAACAGCTCTGGTTTTTGTGACAAAAAAATGCCACAAACAAAACTCAACATGACACAACGTCTACATCACGGAAACATTCCAATAAGCCTATTAATTTTGTGCCTTAAACTGGATTCTGGGTTCATACAGCCGACCTTCGTTAGGATTTCCATCATCACCTGTTAAAGTTTAAAATTATTCGGTGCGCCCAGTTTGGAGAAAAGTTTAGCAAATATTTCCACGTTTCGATATATACAGAATGAGCCTTTCATACCACCTTAAGGGGTCCAGGGTGATTCCTAAAAGCGCCCCTGGGGGACACGTTACCGTCGTGCATCTCGTGGGCCGTCGGCACGTTAATGGCGGTGACGGAGACGTTCTTGCCGGCCTCGGGGCGAGTCGGCAGGGCGGCGGACTTCCAGGCCTGCTGCGGGGGCCACCAGCCGGGGCCCTCTTGGGGCCCCCCGTTTTGCTCGGACATTCTCAGCTCGCCGTCCTCGGGTGACGCTCAGGGCTCGGCGCTAGGTGCTCGCGGCGCTGCGCAGACGGCCTGTCGAGCCGCTCCGGCGCTCTCCGCATCCTGACCGCGACCCCGAGAGGACGACCCGAGCCGCTCCGAGGGGTCCGACCGAGATGGCTCGCCGTCGCCGTACTTTCCGCTGCTCCGCCTCGACGGGCCCGGGCAAGCCTGCAAAGGACAAAGAGCGCCCGTTAAGCGAAGCTTGACCACCGCGAGGGAAACTCGGCAGAGTCGAGCGCCAAGTCTAACACGCTCGCGATGATAAAACTGATACATATACCGAACTTAATGTAACCTTTGCTTTCAGATTTCTTCGCCAGACCGCATGCCAAAACATTTACAGCGGACGGCAAAAACCGCAAAAAGTGTTTAATTCGTCTATGTATTTGTATCTACTAAAAGGGCTATGATGTCCAACTGCAGAAAGTAGGAATAACTTTAGAAACTGTAACATATCGTATACTTTTAACGATGAAGTATAGCACCAAAGATATATATTTACAATTCAAAGAATAATTACTTCCCTCAAATAAGTTGTTACCATTCGGAATAGAAACGTCACGTCCAATCTATTCGATTTTATTCGAGTCAAATAATTATTCTTTGAATTAGAACTATATTTCTTTGGGACTATTCAAAGAAAACTTTCTCTAGTCATTGAATTTCTTCAGGGTAATTAAACGTAGCTTCCGAAAGCAGGTGACCAGTGGCCGCCATGTTGGGCGCCATATTGAGCCGCCATCTTGGACACCGATAGCCGGCAGGTGAGGAGCATCCTACGCGGCCGAGGTTTCCGGAGTGCGTGCGTAACGGTCGCGTCCCGCAAGGCCAGCCCATTTCCGGTCTCCGGGGCGACCTTCGACTCCGCAGGCCTGCGCGCGCAGCTCGCGTTAGTCGACAATCGTCCCGCGTTATCTACGCGATAGATTTGCGATCGGACGACGATCGGGTTGTGACCGGTCCACGATCGGTCAAGATCGGCTCGCGATTAACTCATGATCGGTCAAGATCGGCTCTCGTCGGCTCCGAGGCCCCGCGGTGACGTAGCGAGGCGGCGATGCAGCGACGGAGCGACGCGGTGACGCGGTGACGCGGTGACGCGGCGACGCCACGACACCCGCGATTCCGCGGACCAGCCCTGGTCCCCGGAGACACGTTCCTGCCCAGCCCCCTCTTTTTATCGATTAATAAAATAAATAGATAATCGCGGAACCCGCATTCTCGACGGGCCCTCGGGCCCATCTGGCCGGTTGCGACCCGACTTGCCGATTTAGCGACTATTTACCGGCCGTTTAACAGCGAAGCCGATAAGACTCTTCGACTTCCACCTTGATGCCTTCGCCGCGGTCTTTCGCCCCTAAATTATAATTCCAACGTCGCCCTTAACCCTAATTCAGGCATAACAAGTAATACCCGATTAAAAGTGTTCATAAAATTCGCAGACCGTTAATATACGGGGCTGCTTCGAAATTGTAAACTTGAGGGCCGTCAAAGTAAATAAATATATGTTTATTACTATCTAGATGAATTTATAATTTCATAACATCGTGTCATCATTTGAGGGAACTGCGTGAAAAATTCACTTGTGTCGAACGTTGTCTTCTTTTTTTTTTTAAGTTAAGAATTAGTAAGTCTTTGAATTTATTTGACTCGGCTTATAATTTGACGTCTAGGAAATGGCCGTTTAAAGTCGACAATACGTGGGATCACGAGCGATCGGAGTCAGTACAGAGAATAAAGGGAAACGTTCCTCGGTGGCGCTCTCCCTACCTCAAAGCGCCGCCATTGTTGCCGTATCATCTCCACGTAAGCATGGTTTTCCGTGTTCATGCCGCTTTCGGCCAGTCATCGAGAATGATGAAAGAAGTAACGAGCCCCCCAGGAATGACCGGGACCATCGGCACATCGACGGCAGAAACGAATAGACGGTCCCCAAACATTTTTCTAGAGGAAGTCGTCACTTCCGCCGGTAGATGTCGTCAAATCATAGGAAAAATCTAATCAAGAGCCCAACGATAAAATAATAACCTAAAGGCCATTTAAGGTGATACGAAAGTGGCCCCCAAGATATCAATCATTTATAAAGCTTCTCCGCAAACAGGATACGGTGAATCGTTTCAGTTCTCACCACGTGACACGAAGACCCTAAGAAAAGTCCTGGCACCCATGAAATTCCACCCTTTATAAATAGAATGAATAAAATTGACGATAAAAGAAATAAACATGAAATTTCTCCGGGCGTAAGAACCTTCCTCGAGACGTCCACGTTCCCGAGGTGAAATTTCAACCGATTCAGTGGGCTTAATTCGAAGAAAATTTTCATAAAAGATCGAACCCTCGGACGCCACTTTCATATCACCTTAAGGCAGCACCGCGGATCGACCGGGGCACTCTCGATTCGGGTAAAGTCCCGCGACGCCGCCAGCTCCGCGCGAGTGCGCGTCCGCATGCCTACTCCACCTCGGTCGGACTCGAGGAAAGGTGAGAGAGAGAAGGAGGGAGGGAGGGGGAGAGGGCAAGTATCGCGAAACCATTGCAGCCGGGCGCAAAAAGCTGCAGGTCGTAAGAGGAGCAGACGGGCCGTGGGCGGCCGGTGCAGGGAGAGCGCGGTCTACGTTTTCGGAGTTGGCCGTAGTACGGCTCGGCCGGTGCGCCGGGACGGACGTCGGCCCGGAGCCAGGCGCGCGACTCTCGAGCGGCGACGCGCACAGCCTCTTCCCAGGCGGCGCGGTAAGGTCAAGGCCCTCGGCGCCCTACCCCTATGCACCTTGGGGGTCACGTGACACCGCTCAAGGTCTCCTATCCCCACCCGCGCGCGCTCGCTGCACCGGGGCCGAGCGGGCGGGTGACTTTCCCCCGGGCCGCGCCGATGGACGAATCGCGGCCGGTGTCGCTCCGCGAGCGCTCCAGGGGAATGCGGCGACGCGGCGGGATTTCCCACGGCGCGGCGGGCTCCGATTTTCGGCCGGCGCGCCGCGTCACACTATCTCGGGACGCATCGCCGCGGCGGGACGTTGCGCCACGACTCGCCGCGGATTTTAGTGCATTGCCTGAGAAGCGGTCCCGACATGACGCTATTTCATCTCCTCTCTTTCTCTTTACAGACGTATCCACGTTTCGTGTCCCGCACGTACGGTCCCGCCGTTGGCCTCTGGGTATATATTAAGAAAGTAGGTACCTTTCGAATCGACGTTTACGAGTACACGTTTGTAGGTAGACGCCTCGAAAGGTCATCCACCCTGGATGACTCCGGGAGTCGACGAAGGGAGCACTTTCGTTTTGGAGGAACGTTTGGGAGACCTTTGCGCTTCGGGTGAGACCGGAGAAGGTAATTTAGATTTGTGAGAATTAAATGAACTTTTAGGTGAGAACGAACCGATCGCCGGGATCGACGAAAGGACGCCTTTTCTAGAACACGCGAGACCCAGAAGAGGCGGCGAGGCGCGGTGGAGGCGCCAAGAGGTCGATTGATTTTCGCTAAGCACGGCAGGTGGCGTCGACGGGTCGACGACCCGGGCCCGTGACCCTCGTCGACTAGGCGTCCTTTACAGGATTATTCGGCGACGGGGCGAGGATCCGCAAGGACACCGGACGGCCGACGTAGACGACCTAACCAAACGTTGACTAAATTCGTTGGGCGCGCCGATTATCTCGATGTACCTATCGGCGGGGATTCGGAGACGGAAAACGATCGCGTCGTCGTTATCCGGAGTCTCGGTTCGTTTCAATACATAAACATTGACAATAATGCGTTAACTGTGCTTAAGACAATGCACCGATTTTCTCGCGCACCCGAGACTTACAAAATAATTGAATCAAAGAAATAGTTTTTTCAAACGGTACCAAGGAAATATTTTGTTAACTTAAGACATAATTATTGGACTCGAAGAAACTCAAGTAAATTGCCACAATCCCGAGGAAACTTTGTATCCAATTTGTTCGAACTTATTCGGGTCAAATAACTATATTTGAATTAATAAAATGTTTCTTTGAGAGCCGATTGCCTTTGAGTGCATATGATAGACAACAATGCGATTCGGTAACAAGCGACGTTTGAAGTTACAATCGTGACAGTGTTTTGGTGATTTCCAACGATTTCCAGTGATTTCTGTTTGGGATTTCCAGCTGATTGCCACATGATCTCGAGCGTTGAAATCCATGATTTCCTGAATGAATATCGATGAAAGAGATATTTCTTTGATTCAATGAAACTTTTTTTTTTTCTCAGAGGGTGAATTCTTTTTCCACGTGAACGGGGCTCGGCTCTCGACACAGAAGAGGACAGGTCGGTAGTCGGTTGGTTAGGCAGGCAGGCAGGCAACCGGGCAGGCTCCCAAGCAGGCAGATAGGTTAGGTACCTACAGGCGTGTTTTCCTTTCACCGCGAGGTAGTGGGCCTCGCCGTGGAACGCGTATCTTTAATATCTCCCGGTATTCGAACGGCGGCGGCGGGATACTCGGTGGCCTGGTGTCGATTAAAATTATTATTCCTGGCGCGGGCATTTTTGACTCCGACGGGGAAACCGGTTGGAAACCGGCCGGCAGCTGGCCGAGCGACGTTTCGTTTACAACCGCGGCCCGCGAGACCGGCTTCTCGGGGAGACCGACTTCCGAGACCGGAACCCCCTGCGAGACCGACCGAGAATAGGGATGAACCGATATCACCAAAGTATCGATACTTTTACTTATTACTTGCATCGGGAAGAAAGAATACTCGGCATAGAAAAAAAAAAAAAAAGGTATCGATATCGTTCCAGTTTCGAATAATCTAGAATTTATGTCTAGCCGATTAAAGACCGATTCAAAATACTATAACCATCATTTAATTAAAATCACGATTAAGACCATCGATTTTAATCAACATTCTCGAATCGAGGAAACAAATTATGACAATTTTTGCTGCAATATCGATTAAACCTAATCTTTTAAATGAATTTAACCAATTAAGATTTAAAAGAAGTCGTGATTTAAAATCAGGGATTTTTTTATTCTTTAATAGAAATCATGAGTTTTATCAACCCGACATTTATTTCTTCTTTTCATCGGTATATACATGTCCTTCGCACGTTGCACCCCTTATTTGATCAACGCTGGTACACCGATGCACGTAAATTAATTACTATCTGGAAAAATGCGAGCAAAACGCGTATCCTTACACGTGGCTACGAG